TCCTCACCCTCCTGTTCAAATCCCTCCCTATCTCCGTCACCTCCTCCTCCAGCCCCCTACAATCCTCACCCTCCTGTTCAAATCCCTCCCTCCCTATCTCCGTCACCTCCTCCAGCCCCTACAATGCTCATCCTCTTGTTTAAATCGCTCCATCACTCGCTATCTCTGTCTCGACAGCCCTCTGTGGTAAAGAATCCCCTCCCCATCTCCGTCTTCCCCCTTATTCTGAGACAATGCCCCCTCTAGTTCCAGACTCATCCACAAACTCAGGGGGAAACAACATCTCTCTCCGTGTTTCCCCTCAAATCAAGTTGTCTGAGAATCTTCGATCCAGTTGCGCCTCGTTCTTCTAAACTCCCAACGAGGACAGGCGCTGACTTGCTCAACCTCTCCCTCATCAGACAGTCCCTCCGTACCCAGGATCAGCCGAGTGAACCTTCTCTGGGCCGCCTCTGACGCCCAGACCCTCGGTTCCCGTAGCTTTCCGCAGTCTTTCTCCTTTTGAATAGTATCTGGCTCCGCCATCACTTCCTGTTTCCCCACATGATATTCCATCTGCTGACTCTCTCTCTCTTTCTGTCCGTCGGCACACTCTGTGTGTGCGTGTCATCCCAACCCCTCGCCTTCCCTGCTATTTGTGTGTTATCTACAAACGTGGCCTTAGTAGCCTTTACTTTGCTTGTCCATGTCCTGAATGGATTATGGCCCAAGCTCTGATCCCGTTGGCTCTCGCTAGTTTCAGGTTGCCATCTCTTGTGGCAGTTAGACGATCCTCGGTGAGTATTGTGGGCAGTTGTGGCCTCCTAGTCTGAGGAAGGACACTCTTGCTATCGAGGGAGCCCCAGAAAAGGTTCCCCTGATGGATCTCCGGGAATGCAGGCCTGGCGCGTGGATCGACTGGGCTCGTGTTCGCTGGGATTTGGAACAATGAGGAGGGTGGGGAATCTCATAGACCCGTATAAAATCCTGATGGGACTGGACAGGCTAGATGCGGGCAGAATGTTCCTGATGTTGGGGGATGCCCAGGACTAGTGGGGGCTGCAGCCTGAGGATAAGGGGGAAGCCATTCCGGACAGAGACTAGGGAGAATTTCTTCACTTGAGGGAGCAGTGAGCCTGTGGAATTCTCTCCCATGCAGAAAGCTGTTGGGGAGAGGGAGCTGGAGGTGGGCTTTGGGGCTGAAGGGATCAAGGAGCGAAAGCGGGAGTGGGATTCTGAGATTGCACGGTGGTATTGAATGGTGGTACAGGCTCGACGGGCCAAATGGCCTCTTCCTGCGCCTGTTTTCGATGTTTTTAGTTGGAAAATGCACCCGTTTCATCCTGACTCCCTGTCTGCTTTGAGTTGACCAATCCTTCGATACACTCCGTCGCTCTCTCCTGCGTCCGCCCACGAGCGAATGGTTCACAGTTATACACCTTCCTCCGGGCTGACAACAGTGCGGGGAGGCCGTGCCATGAGGTTTTTGGGGCCCTGTGTGTCCGGTTCCCCTCACTCACTCTCCTTTTCTCTTGCCCCCTGCGCCCCCCCAATGTCACCACCTCTCCACGGGGCAGCTGCCCAGAAGCTGTGCCACCTGCTGGGGCTCAACGTGACGGAATTCACCCGGGCCATTCTCTCGCCTCGCATCAAGGTCGGACGGGACTACGTACAGAAAGCACAGACCAAGGAGCAGGTGAGGCAGCGGCGCCCCGATCCGCAATCCCCGGCACTACCCCCCACCCCGGTGCCAGTACTGAGGGAGCGCCGCCATGTCGGAGGGAGATGGATATACTCTAGGGGGACTCGAGCTCCATTATCCAGGCCGACGCTCCCTCCCTCCCTCCCTCCCGGTGCCAGTACTGAGGGAGCGCCGCA